TACATTGTCATGCTTGTACTGATAGTGGGGGTTGCCATAACCCAGGTAAAAGACTTCGCATTTGTATTTGTTGAACCTTATGAGGTTCATGTGGGTCAACTGCTCAGCCTGTCTAGGTTTCTCTGGATAGCATCCTGTCCCCTTGGTGTGTTGACTGTACCACACAACATGGTGTCATCCACAGATTTGCTGACAGTGTCAGTATCATTGATGAAGATATTAAAATGTGTTAGTCCCAGCACTGACCCCTGAGGCATACCATTTGTCACTGATCTCCCTCTGGACATTGAGATGTTGACTGCCATTATAAAAAAGCCACTAGGTTGATCAGGCAGAAGTTGTCCCTTGTGAAGCAATGTTGGTTGTATGGGATCACCTCCTTGTCTTCCATGGGCTTCAGCATAGCTTCCAGCAGGATCTACTCTATCGTACTCCTCAGCACAAAGGTGAGGCTGGCAAAGAGACTTTTTGAATATCAACTGAAAAGGAAGAATGTCCTTTTTTTCCCCTTACATCACTACATAAGCACAGGTGCGTGAACATGTCTGTTTGAAACACATATCCATTTAATTCAAAAAGCCTCTCCAATTTTTTATAGTGAAAAGCATCTTCCAGTTGTGAATTGTTCTAAAGTAAAACAGAATGCCTTTAAACAGCAGCTCTCTTTCTGCTAAGAAATCAGAACATCTTTCACCATCTTTGACCTAATGTCATTCACTTGTAGCTTTGTAGCTCTTCATTGTGAAAAGAATTACTCCACCAAGCAAGAACAAAAATTTTCAATGCAAGTAAATGGATTGTGCAGATCTGCAAATTTCAGTCTTGCTTGAAGAAGTATTTTTCAATAAATGACAATAAAGAAATAATATGTTTCTGAAAGAAGGGAATATAACTATCAGAAATATTTTTCATTCAGCTTTCTTTTGAACTTGAAATGAATAGTTCCCCTTTATTTGTCATACTTACGAGATGTAATGCACTGAAGAAAAATCCAAATGGAAGCTAGATCTAATTACTCTTTTTAAATGGTCCGCCTCTAATGTGATATTCAGGCTGGATGTTAGGAAGTACTGCTTTTCCAGAAGAGTGGTCAGGCACTGGAATGGGCTGCCCAGAGAGGTGGTGGAGTCACCAATCCTGAAGGTGTTCAAGGAACATTTGGATGTTGTGTTGAGCGCCATGGTGTAGTGAGAACTATTAGTGACAGGCAGATGATTGAACTGCATGATCTTGTAGGTCTTTTCCCACCTTGGTGATTTGGTGATTCTGTGATTTTATGAGCAGGATTAACTGCTCCAAGAACCTGTTTGAAATACTCTGGACAAAAAATATGGTTAACATTCAACAGACAGTATACTGACTTCATTATCTGAGACTTAGATGTTAAAGTCTCAATTCTTTGCTATTATCCCAAATAGCAGGAACTAATAATGCTATGGCCAATGTAGACTTTCCATGTAATTTCAGTTTCTGTAAGACACGAGACCCAGAAATATTCTCTGCAGAGAATCAGGCTCCCTGAATTTTCAAATATCTGAGGTATCCGCTGACACAACGCTACAAATCCCATTCTACCCTTTGCCCCCATCTGTTAATTAGTGCTATGGATGTGCCCTGAAACCTGCTTTTAAACTCCGCATTTACAGCAAGCATTCGTTATAATAAATTCAATTTTCCCAAGCTATTCTTCCTTAGATAGTTATTCTAAATTATCTTGTCATAAAACTTACTGCAGTTCTCTTTTTAAAATATGAATCAATTTACATCGTCATAATTTGAATATGTTGCTTAGGGCATAAAACACTTAGCTCTAATGAAAAATTTCAGTGAGTATTTAAAGGCAAGACAACCAGATACCCTGTTTGACACAGCTATAAGCAAGACTTGTTTATATTTCAGAAATCTTTTTTGGCAGAGAATATCATTATGTATGTATTTTCTGCAGTTGTGGGTTTTTTTCGCAAACTGGTCATAAGTTATTGTACATAAAAGCACACTATCATACATCTTCTACTTTTTTATTTTAAAAGCAGCTGTAAAATACTGAGATACAGAGGAGCTACATATGTATGTGGGGAATACGTACATGTAAACTTGCTGAAGTTTCTGAGTGAAAGTTTTAGTAACTTACACCTTTTAAGTATGCAGCCTGAAATAAACAGATACTCCCAGTAGAAAAATTAAAATAAACCAAAAGCTTTGATCCACTTTTACATATACAGGTACTTGGTGATTTAGGAGCTGCCCTGTTGTGTGAGGCTGAAGACCTGCCCGGACTAGGGAGCATGCATCCTCCAGCAGATGTCTTCCCAGTTTCCTGCACTCTTCTACCTGCATGTTTTGCAGTCCTTGGCTATAGATCCTACCCCTAGCAGTTTATCTCACTTTACTAATACCTAAATACTGTGAGAAAGAGTACCACAGTTTGATTACACGATGTGTGAAACAGCACGACCATTAGGTGATTCATTCATTTCATTCTACAGGAACAATGCAGTGTTGTCTGTGATTGATCTCCATGCCATTTATGATGTTATAGACATCTATCATATGTCCTTTCTTCCAAGTTTCTTAACTTCATTAGTGAGCTTAAGCTGAGGTAAAATGAAGAATGAAAAATTCGGTAGTAAATTTTCTATCCCTGGATGTTTTTCAAGAAAAGAGTAGATGTGGCACTGTGGGACACGGTTTAAGGGCATGGTGGCGATGGGTTGATGGTTGAACTTGATGAGCTTGGTGGTCTCTTCCAACCTTATTGATTCTATGATTTTAAATTTGCCACTGGTCTACTGCAACGCATTCAGTATGTTTGCTCATGGGATGTTATATTTCATGCCAGTCACATTTGGGGATGTTCACAAAGCTTCTCTCGTTGATAAATCTGTTTTCCTAAAATCCTTGATCTAGCAATTTTAATTTCCTGAGACTGATCTTGAATTTTGAAGGATGCTAAATTTTACATTTGCATAAATTAGTGTCTGAAACAGATGAGTTCAATTTCAGGTAATAATGACATTGTGTGTGATTTTACATACACTTTCTTGGCTCTAAGAAAAATAGTATAATCCATCTCTTTCATCAGTATTTGTTCCTTAGTTTGATTCAGATATTTTCACTTTGCACAGATGCATGTGGGTATGGATAGCAAGTAGATGGATTTTTCTGGTAAACAAAGACTTTTTTTATTCCAAGTCTTAGTCAAAATGCTATTTCTGAGATGTCTTCCACAGGAAAAATGAAATAGAAAATAAAAAATTCTCCAATTCCTCTGCAGCAAGAATTGCTTGTGGTTCTGCATTGGTAAAAAAAAGCCAACAGATAAATTGCATGCATGTGCAAGAAATCAAAAGGAACAATCTTTTACTTTTAAGCTTTCTTTGCTGCAGATTGTACCTTGCTAATTTTAATGAGTTTGCTTTCTTGTATTGTATGCTGTACTGATACAAATGATAATCAAATTCAGATGAAATCTTAAAGCTCTAGCTAATTTCTGTAATCAAGACTAGACTATACTTGGACAACAAACAACTTTTCCTGACAAAAATGCTTCTTTTTTTCCTTACAGTCACAGCACTGTGGCTTTGTGGCCAGTTTTTCTGAAATTTTATCTGTTTATCTTAATTGTTGCTTAGCTTGAATGCTGAGGTTCCAGGCAAGGAGGGAAATACATCACTTTTGAAAGAGAATCACTTGTGGAGCATACACGTGTTCTTGAAAATGCCAAACTGATAGCACTTGAGAGGAGCTTAAAGACTAAAATAGTAGTCTAAGTTCTCTTCTGAGAATTTAGTAGACTAAAATTCTCTTCTGGATTCAACCTATGACATTTTTCCTAAGAACTTCAAAGAAGTTTTTCATTCTGCACTAATTCAGTCACATAAGCACTTGTTCTAGAGAATCATACTCCTTTTGTGCTTTATGCAAATGAAAATCACTCATTTGAAGTCAAAAAGACATCAAATAATGTTTTTGTAAATGAAAAGACATTTGAAGACATTGAAGATTACCCATATAAACCAAAAATATCTCAGGGGGGTGATCTGACCGTTTTGCTGAAGGAGAAATGCTATGCCCTTTGAATTTGAATCACGACTCTTAGGAGAAAAAAATGGCATTGTTCTAACACAGACCAGAGTTTTGGAACTCACTGATATATTGACTAACACATGCCATTGGAAATAATGTATTTACCTGCCTTAGAATGAGTTAAGATATTTTTAAATGAATCACGAGCTGCTTCCAAAGCTATTAATGCTTATGGTAACATTTTTCAACAGAATATGATAGTGTCCTTTATAGTCACTAATTTTGTCACAGCTTATGCAATGGCATCCAAGCTGCATTGGTGAGTAAGTGTTCTTCTAATGCTACTTCATCCAAAACAGTAACAGAACCTCCTAGGATTATTTTGACAAGATACAAATGCCAAGTAAAAAGGCAGTTAATTTTTAAAATGGTAACAATGATTTCAACTGTGGGCTGAATCTGCACCTCACGTTCTAGCCAGGCATGCAGGTCCAGAACCCACACAGACCCTGAGTCACATGTGTGGTGTCCTTTCTCTGGCCCCATGGATTTCAGGGTTTTTCTGTCTCCTTTGGTTCTGCTGTGTAGAGTTTCAGGCTCTTCACTCACTTTGTCACTTCCTTTTGGATCCCACTGATGTCAGTTCTGGACATTACTTTTTGGTTTCAGGTATCTGATGTTTTAATAAGACATTGCTCCCTTCTATCTGAGAAATAACACCGTGCAGACCTTCATTAAGGAGGAATGTTGTTTTGCCCTATGATTGGGCCAGTATTTGTCAGACATCTTATAAAACACTAGTCCAAGGAGTACCTTGGTATGTAAAATAGCATGTGTAAAAGAAGAGTCCTCCTTGAACCCAGCAAGTGTCAGCCGTGAAGGAATGTCTCTATTGGAGCGTTCCTAACCCAGTCATTGCTCAGTTCTCAAGCTTGGCTATCCAGGCACCAACCTTCTTGCTGCTTGCCTTTTAGGTTTTCCAGGGAAACTTTGACAATGACACACACCGGAAGAACGTCATTGACCCTCCGATCTACGCCCGGCACATCCGCATCATCCCATGGTCGTGGTATGGCCGGATCACCCTGCGGTCAGAGCTGCTGGGCTGCACGGAGGAGGACTGAGGTGGGGTTCTGCTGGGCGTCATAGCTCTCAGTACCCCTACTGGTCCCTTCGTAGAAGAAACTGCAAAGCCTGTAGGAAGCTGAGTGGGTTTTTCATGATCAAGTGCTCATTTTATGGTAGGCCGCTAAATGTCTTTCGCAAGGAGGTCTAAGCCTGCCCTTTAAATGATCCAATCCGATTTTGTCCTTGAAATATGTTAGTGTTGTCCCTTTTGCTGTGGCATTATCTTTCTAGCTCTCCTTTAATTTGTTCACACTAGTTGAAATGTGTTAGGGAAAAACAGCAGCATCCTTTTTACAAGGGAAGAGAAAGAGCATGACAAAGCTCATTTGCAGCTTCAGTAACATTGGGCTGACAAGTTCTCCATAAATCATACTGTCATCTTACTTGCAAAAAGTGATACTGCAGCTTTTAGCAATAAGTTTACTTGGGGATGACTGCATTATAGTAATTGTGCCTATCAAACACTGTCACTATTTATGACATATTTTGGAAAATACTTCGTGGTACCGTAAAATACAGTACCTGTGATATTACTAGCTACCTTTCATTATTCCTATCTAAACAGCAGAGTCCATTCACCTAAAGGGTTTTCCTAGCTAGCCCCATGTTCCTTCTCAATTTTGCATATTATAGACATAACCTTCATGCTTTCTGTTCAGTATCACTGTTAATGTTATTTTCTTTGAAAGACCCATTTGTATATGGAATAAAATTTGCTGTCAGTACATTATGAAGTTAACGAATTTGCCAAAGTACATTAATTCTGCTTGAATGGTGTTCTTGCAAGGATGCTGAGGTGAGACAGGCGGGTTCTTGTGGTTCCATGTCTTCAGTACATGCAAAGGTAAAGGCACAGTGCACAGCATAAATCTTGAACCCATTGCATGACTTACCCAGGAGTGAACTGCCCTCGGTGGAGCTGCCCATCTGACTTCTTCTTTCAGAAACCTTCTTCCTGTGAGGAGACACATGATATGAAGGAATGAGGTGCCATGAAGCATGTGGAAGGAATGACCTCCTTGCTGCTGGGAAATCTTCCTGCTGGGCTTTTCTAATGGCACCAGTCATGTTCTTTCTCCCAAGCATGGAGGCAAGAGATGTTGTAGGAGTGCACCAGATTTGGGCACCTGGTTTCCTCTGCTCCCAGCTGTGTCTTTGCTGAGTATGCCACTGAGCCACAAGGAGGCTGATCTTTGTCATGCTTCATCTACAGAAATGCTTCATACTATGCTGTTTTAAGAAAGTATGTCCAGTTAGGGCCCTAGGACCCAGAAAAAAATTAAACAGTGATGGGATTTGTAAGATGCTAGAAGTACGGTTAGGCATTGGGTGGCAGTGCAGATTTCATTGGGTGGAGGCGGAGGGTGCTGCTATGCCTTATAGGATCTAGAAACAAGACAGGTAAATGGACTTGGCTGCATGAGGTAGCTGAGCAGCAAGAGTGAAAGAAGGGATGGGGAAGGGCATTGCAGTCATGGCTCTGGTGTTTGTTTGCTGGGCAGTAACCTCACCCCACAAATGGAGATAATCACACCGATCTTGTGAAGCACTCTGAGCTTCCTAAGCACAAGGTGCTCCATGATGATGTAGCACCAGAACCTTTAAGACCTTGGGACAAGGAGTTAGGAGATGTTGTATTTGCTACCTGAAATAATGGGATCACATGGGATCACACTGTTAACTTCATAACATGCTGATGGCAAAATATAAATTACTTATATATATATATATATACAGCTGCATGTTCTAGCAAATATCACTGAACTTAATTTCTGTCACCGTTACATTCTCACTGAAACCAAAACACTGAAGTATGAGCCTGAGTCCTGCTTCCCAGACAAATGCCCCATTGGCCCACAGTCTGCAAAGGGAAAAGTTTGTTTTGGAAACAAAACGGTTTGGATTTCAAAACCTGCATTTAATCACACATTCTCCACCACAGAGAAAATATATAATCCATTTAACTGTGAAAGACCCTAGATTAGCAGCCAGGAATTTTACTTGCAAGAATTGGGGATATATAGGTGGCGGTTTTCGGATAGTGTCACTTAAACTGTCACATTTTAACAAACAGAACACCCTGCCTCTATAAAATGATTTAATCCTTAAACTGTATTTATACAAGTATTTATTTTATAAGGCTTAGACATATAAAGACTTCTACAGGAAAGTCTTATAAAGGTGAAAGTATGTGGAAGAAATGTTGAAGTCCTGTGCAACACTGCTAAGTTCGTTCTTTATTTTTTACTTTGTGCTGCATAACAAAAGCCACTAGACTGTTAATGTCTTGTCTGTAACTGTGTTAACAGCATTCCTTAATGATGTATATATGAAGTGGTCTTCAAGCATAGTGAGTGATTTTAAAGAGAAAGTCAATCATGGGGATACGTAAAATTCTAGAGAAAAACTGTATTCTTAAGTTAACCACTGTCAACGTTTTGCACCTCAAACTCTTCATTAAAAAACAAAAGCAAACAAAAAAAATGTTTTTAAGGACGCACAGTATTTAAAGACATCTAAAACCATTTTTCAGTTTTAAGATAGCAACTGAGTATTTATTTATAGACTGGAACAATAGCCATGTATCTAATGGACTGTGTAACCTAAAAAAGGGAGGCATTTCTGCAAATTGGAGTCTCTAGTTCATCAAATATTTTCAGTTTTGTTTTGGAATATTCATTCCCAAGTGATTGTTTTTTTCATGTTTTGCAACTTTTGGTATTGTCTTCCGTTGCTAATTCGATTGCTAACCATTTATCTGCATATAAAAGTAGTGTTGTTAGAATACCTAAAATAGTCACTTTATTTTGTGTTAACTTGGAGTTGAGTAATTTCATTCTTTTACTCTGTGTTAGCTTCCATCTGCCAGCAGCTTTTGCAACCTGGAAACAAAGCTCTGTACTTTATAATAATATGCTCCAATAAATTATAAACGAATCATATAGGTGTGCCCCAACACTTTCAGCCAGTCTGCTGTGGCTTTATTACTGAAATTATTCTTTAGCTGCCAGAAACTTTCTTTAAATGGTATTGAGCAGCCATAAAACCAAACTGTATTCCTGCTGTTATTTCATACTGAAATAATTCTTGATATCAGGTGTGCTCCCGTATTATGGTTTTTCCCTTTATTTTACTCTCCCCAATTTGTGCATGAAAACCACTGACAGAAGGGACAAGTGATAACTAACACAGCCGTACTTTCCCAGTGAAAGCAATTGGCATACCAAAAAGAGAAGCACATAAAGGATAAGTGGAAAAACACTTTGAAAGGATCCTTGGGTATTAATTGTGACAGTGACATTGAACAAGAGTGAAAGCACACTCTTAATTAAATTTCACTCGGAACCAGCTAAGTAGGCACCATTCTGCGGCTCCGCAACATACTATGTTTTTAGCCTGGGAAAACAAGCACTGGCACCAGGCTCAGTTTTATCTGTGTGAAGGGCTTATCATGCTACCTGGCTGTGGTCACCTGGTTGACTTTCTCTTTGGGAATGGCTGCATACAAATACATGTGAGTTTTGAAGACTAAGGATACTAAATGAGTGTATCTTTGCTATACAACAAATATGATCTATAATATTCAGTGCTGGCTTCTGATGTGTCAGTAAGTACAAAAGTGTCTTGGACACAAAGACCTTTGCAACCTTTCAAGCTGTGTAATATTCAAATGGTTTTGTATATACTTAAATCATGTAGGATGATGTAAAACCAGTATGACCTTGTCTAGTCTTCAAACTTATCAATAAAACTTTTGAAAAATGAGGCCATTTCTGAAGCACTTATATTGCAGTACCTTGAATGGATACAACTTATCTCAGCCAGACCTGCAGCAAATGCAGAGCAGAGATATGAGATGGCATTTTCCTGGATTCCTTCGTGGGGTCTTTGTGGTAGGTAAGTTTGTTTCTGGCAAAATCAGCCCTGGTTCTGCGCTCCCTTCAATGTGTTCCCTTTGTTCTTCCAGATAAAAAAAAGCAAAGGTTTCAGTGAGGCTAAAAACATTTTTTATCTTCGTGCTATCTGAATAAGCACCAGAAATATAAACAGACAATTTCATTTCCTTCAAGTCAGATTTCTCAGGATATGTATCAGTCCTTATCCTCTCTTCTCTACTCCTGCATAGGCAAATTAATTTCTGCAAAGATAAACAAGCTGCTATGAGACTTTCAACCAAGATTGCCTTGCAGGGCCGGTGCTTGCTCACAACCACCTTTCTCCTTCATATTTTTGCTTTGCTGCCAGCCTGCCAGGGCAGAGTTGCCCCTATTACATATGTCCAGCAGCAGCTCTGCCGCAATGCCTGGGAAAGGACCAAAACGGTCATGCCTGACAGGCAAAGCAATATTTTAATGGAAATGTTTTCAAAACTCTGGAGATTTAGTATTTCTATTTTCTATGATGGGTTGTGAATGTAGTGCACAGAAAAGTTATTCACTCCCAGTTTCAAACATTAAGACTTTTAAAATACTTTAAAGATAAGTAGAATGGTATATTTTAAAGATAGTGAAAGGTAATCAGTGGTTTACTCCATACTCTGCTAGATTAAGTTCACAGCTATACATTTTTTTTGTTGGGACTTTTGTTGCAGCCCCATCTCGTCTTCCGACCTTCAACCAAAAGTGGTCTCCATCCGTGAGTGCGCACTGACAGTAGTTACTCTGTCTGCCAAATGTGCAATCTGTACACTTAACAGTGTAATGCATTTCAACAGTAAACTCCCAGAAATGATGTTGTGAATTTCTTCTGATTGCGTATGTCTACCAGTCTTAAAAAGGAGAAGAATATAATGTTACACAGAGGATATCTTCTAGTGAATGGTGAATATTAGTAATATAGTTACAAATGTCTGAAAATGTACATCTTGAGTACATCCTTACTTTCAATTATAAACTGCAATTTTTTCATGAAACCTGGGGCCTGCACTTGATGAAATGAAAAGTGATTTTTCCTCTCATTCTTCATAATGCAGTTCCCCAGGAACTTTAATGAAGACAGTGAGGGAAAATAATTAATAATTCTCTTCATAATGGCAACTATTTATCAGTGTCCATCCTACCATATCTGTTGCTAATGATCTCAAGGGATTAGCATGCTTATTAACACATATAGTTATGAAATATAAGTCCCTGGTACTTCTGTGATAAATACAATGACACTTCATATTTTCAATTCAAGCAGCAGGTTAATTTGTTCACTTAGTGATCAGTAAACAATCTGTGAACACTTAGCCTTGTAAAGTAAATTAGGACAAAGTGAAAGATAATTGCACTGATGAAAACTTCCTATTTTCTTTCAAAATATAATTTTCTTTATTAGAAATTTAAGGTGCAGAGGACTGGTTTAGGCTAATAATACAAAAGAGGGCAGGCAGATTTAATCCTTGTGTGAACATTTGTTGCCCAGCTTTATAAATGCATAGATCACAAATTATCTTTTGACAATTTTAATCACTATCAGTAGTTGAAGAACTGTTTATATATACGTAAATGTATCTGAACATAAGAACATGGAAACACATGCTCTCAAAGCTCATGTTTCTGAGAGCATAGTAAAATGCATTTTAGCAGTATATATTTTAGCAGTACCAGTTGTATTTTGATACAGATACGATATATATCAACTTACAAATGTTCTCCACATACATATGAATATATGAGAAGCATAAATAACAGAGTGAAATACAGGTGGGAATGGCAAGAATTGTCAAAGAGCACAGCCTTTCGTCATGATAATGTTTCAGATGCGGCTGCTTTCTCACTGATTTACAAGCTAATGCATCATGGTTATCTGAGGTTGCACATCAGATGATAGGTCAGTAGACACATTTCTGGTGGCCATGACTAAATGAAGGAAATCAGCCCTCAAAATATTGTAGGAAAGGTCACTAAACTTTTGCATCAGACTGGAAAATAAGAAGCAGGCTAATATGAACAACATCCTGAAATATATTGTTTTTCTAGGGCACTGCAAGATGTCAGTAGAGAAATATATTGCTATGACCACAATAAATACAATTAAGCACACAGACTGTTGGGCATAAAAAATATAGGCAATTCATTGAAGCTGGGTCAAAAGCTTCTTAAAAAAGTGGTACAACGTGTACTTATGAAAGCATAAAGTGATATGATGTGTGCTCTTTGGGCTGATATATATACCGTGGGTTTCTTTACTGATTCAGGTTGGGATGGTAACCTTTCATTGCAATATCCCATATGGTTCATATTTTGGATTGGTGGCTACTGCAGCACTAACAACACTGCAGTGCCTACAGAGTATGGCCAGGACAGCTGACCCAAACTGGCCATGCCCCCTGCCATATTATAACATCCTGGTCAGCAACACCAATGGAGGGGAGGAGGTTCGGGGTGGAGGTTGCCAGCAGTCTACTTGGTGAGGTGACGAAGGATTGCATCAATTGAGTGGGTCTAATATTTGTTTCCCCTCTTTCCTTCAGTCATTAAACTCTTTATACTTCAACCAACAAGCTTTCTTACTTTTGTTTTTAGCTTGTCCTGTGAGCGCAAGGGCATGAGCAAGAAACACAGCTGATGACTCCAGTCAAGCAATCCCAGGGTTACACACATAAATCATATCCACAGTCTAGAATGATGAATTTTACAAAAATATTTTCTCTGAATTTTCTTTGCTCACTTTTTATATACATGTTAATTTTCCCTTGAATGGTGATGTTTTTATGTGTCGCTGAGTTAAGTAGATTGATCTATGCCCGTGACAGGGGGGCAGTGGGCCCATAATCCTCCCCCCGAGCCTCTCCCACCCCCCACCCCCACCCCCAAAAATGAGAAGGAGAAGGGAAAAGAGATAGGGAGATGGGAGCTGGGCTCGAGGGAAATAAAAAAAGAAAAATAAGGAATAGCAGTAATGATCTAAGGAGGAAAACTTATTTTACTGTGATATTGGAATGCAAGATAACACAATATGGTATAATATAATTGACATTGAAACTAATAAATAAAATAGGAGAAAGAGAGTTTCCTTAAAAAAAAAAAAAAAAAAAAAAAAAAAAAAAAAAAAAAAGCCTGCTTTGAACTGAAGGCACATGGCTCGGAAGCTCACCCACACCCTCTGCCAGGCAACAGCGAGAGAGAGCAAGACCTCCTGACTTCATTCCTCCCATGACTTATCATGTTCACCTCACGCGCAAAAGGTCCCCTGGAATATATAGTTCTTCTCTTCTGAGAGCCAGGTATCCAGAAAGTTGTCAATCTGTGGAACTGGAGTATTAACTCTTTAATTACCCATGCACTACATGATGCTATGATGTGTAATACCGAAAACCAAAAATCACAAAATCATGACATTATGATTTCTGACTTGCAGAAATTCCTTTTCTGCTTATGACTTACAGTTTGATATTTGAGCTTCATAGCTTCATTGGAGGAGGCATGGATGTAGCATTTTTGAAAAAGCTATTAAAGGTTGGTTTCTTTATGTTGAATATACTTATATAAAAATTATCATATTTAGAGAGATACATAAAAATAACACAAACATTGGTTGCTCCAAAAGTAATGCCTCCCATTTGTTTCCATGGAAACCACAAGAACTAGAAAGAGCACTATAACTCTTAGGATTTGATGGAGCATACTCTCAGCTACAAAACACTATTAATCAACATAATTATCACCATTAGCTATGCATTATCACCATAGTGCTACTCTCAAAACAGTCTACATCAGTGAAGGTGATTCAGTGTCACTGCCTGCCACTACTGAGCACACCTCAGTGTGCTCACATCCACCGTTTGCTCTCCGCAAACATACAGCAAGATTACACGAATGTTAAGAAAACTTATTCTGCATGCTGGAATTCCATCACACACCTTTGCTTCATACACACTTCCATGTCAGATGCCATCCTGTCAGATTGCTCCTCTACTGCCCTCTGTTGCATGACAACAAAATGTAATGGGATGTTGGTGAGAAGGCTCAATCTTTGCTGCCATAACACCATCATCGGCTCTGACATCATGGGCCAAGATAATAAAATAGGAGGCATTATTTTCAAAGCAGCTCTCATAGATGCATTTTCTGTAGGCCATTATCATTCATTCTATTTTAAATAGCTATGAGACTAGAAATAGGAAAGAGGAAGCAGAAGGATAATTATACTTCTCATGTAGAGGTACCACCTATAACTTTCTTCAACACTTACAGAGCTGGACAAATAAATCCATTGTGCATCAGGAGACTCGCTAATGAACATAAGAGTTGATTTTGTTTCTATTTCAACTTTTGATTTAGGTTAGAATCATAATCACAGAATAACATCATCATAGGATTGTTTGAGTTGGACACTTCAAAGCCTTCTAGTCCAACTCTCCTGCCATGACCAGAAACATATGCCGCTTAATCAGAGTCCCATCCAGTCTGTCCTATCCAGAGATGGAGCCTCCACCACATTTCTGGGAAAATCATTCTACTGCTTCATTACAATTACCATAAAAAACTCTTTCTTTATTTCCAGGCAAAATCTCTCCTTTTGTAGTTTGAAATAGTTTCCCCTTGTCCTTTCACAAAAGACCCTGCTGAAGAGTTTGTCCCCACTTTTTACAGCCCCCCTTTAGATACTGAAAGACCACTAACCAGGTATCCCCAGAGATTTCTCCAGATCAAACAGCCCCAACCCTCTCAGCTTGTCCTCACAAGCTTTGGGCATTTTTGTGGCCCTCCTCTGGACACACTCCAACAGGTCAGTATCTCAACTGCACTGAGGACTTCATGCAATGGAGTACTCTATGA